GTTCTCACGGTTTGTCACTCCCGTAGTATTTATCGATCCCAAACCCTTTCTCAGCAGTTTACTGTATTTTTACTCTTGTTATTAAGCATGAGATTTTTTATTAGTTTTTACATTTCTATTTTTTTTTTATTTTCCAATATATATTTTTTTTTCTTTTCAAATGCTTCTACAATTCATGAATTAAGTTGTTAAATTTTGAAAATATGTACAATAATAAAGACGTCCAGTATCTGTGGATCAAAAAACTGCTCAATGCATTTTGATTTTGCACACGCACATATACTGGAGGTGTAAGTCTTCGTACAATCTCCATCGTGGTACATCTTGGGTAATGCAAACGGTAATTCAATTTTCAAGCTGTACTTGAAAGTATTTCACGAAAATACACTTTATTATGGCGTTTCGGAAAGTTCTAGAGACAAAATGTAAGCTCATATAATGTGAAAAGTGGGTATTTGCGTTTAAAAGTTCCAAAGTGATCCTCATATAACCTTCAAACGACTTTTAAAAAATAAACTACCAGCACCATGTTATCTCCCCTTCCGCAAAACCGCAAAACGGTTTTGTATAAAATATTTTTCAATGGAAGCCTTATCTTCCAAGATATATACTTTTTTCAGCTTGTTAGATATTTTGTTTAAGCATTTTATCATTTAAGCAAATAATTTTGCACATTTGACATCATATGCATATCTGCGATCCAGAGGACGCCCTATATTTTGCATTCAATTTTGTTTATTACACATTTTTTCTGTACTTATTGATGACGGAGAAGAGTCAAGAGGAATAAACCAAAAACGGGCAGAAATGCAAAGATATGACCTAAATAGTTTTTGTAGCCCTACATTTGTGCCAAGTTTGAAAGGAATTGAAATGTACCTCTTAGATAGGTTTATCTGTTACTTTTACATATCAGTTCTGTCCTTCTGTTATGCGTATTGCGTTCACTGCACTGGCTTCTTCCTACCGACCCAGTTCTATTCATTCTCAGTCTACTTGATTCAAACGTCCATAAAATTGCCATATAGCCAACTGAGCGACTGAATTATATAAATTGTAAATATTTCGTCTCTCGAGAAATTGTGCGAGCTGTCTTATTGACTCACATAATCGTCACATAAAATGTTGAGAGCCTTCAATATCGTTTCGACGTAGCGTCCGTATCGAGCGGAATCGAGGCGTGTTCGCCTCTTTCCTTGCTTCTCAGCGCGGTCTCATATGTCGCCTTTTCCCGTCCGAGCAATCTAGACATGTACAATTATTCGTGGACAAGGGCCGTCCGAAGTACACGCCGACAGCAACGGGATCGAATTGCTCGTTCCCATCGGTCCGTTCATCCTGTCATTCGACGCCGTACGGCCGTCAAGGGCGGATACGCCAGTATCCTGCAGCGCGATGTTACATCGAAGTGCATCGGGCGCGAAGTGCACTCCGCTTTCTGGCATTCGGCAGTTGGTCCGCGCAAATATTCCTTCCGCCGAGCAGGCCTTATCGGGGCAGGACGAGCGCGCCCTTTTTCTCTCGCGCCGGATTCGCACTTGAATCGCACGTCGGCCGACGGGGGAAAAACAGCGGCGGAGGCGTGCTATATTTATCGTAGTATCGGCAATGCAATTGTCGTTATTACGCGAGGCGGGTACGCTCGTAGCGCGAATCCCTTTCGCGTTTAAAATATCCTCGACCTTTGTGCATAAAGCGCATGCTTTCAGAGCGATCGTCAATCCCGCGCATTCCCGTGACATTTCGCGAAGGAAAAGGTTTCCCTCCGGCGTCGCGCTTCGGGACGCGCTGCTCGGGACTCTTTTGGCCTCGTCGCCTCCTATCGTTTCAAATTGCGTACGAATCTCGCCCACAATCGCCGTTTTGCTCCGCGAGGAGAAAGAAAAGCGGACAAGGTGACACGAGTCACGCGAGCCCCGCGGCGAGGCGAGGCGAGGCGAGGCGAGCCGAGCGCACCGAGCGGACGAAAATTTCACTCCGCGCTCCTCGAGTGAAAAATTACGCGTCCGGCTCCGTGAAATTTCGCGTTGCCCGGCCCCGCCGCGCCCGCGCGGCGCTGCGTCCGTTGAATTATTCCGCGCTCCGCACGGTCCATTTCATCATAATTTCATGAGCCATTCCGTGATTATTCCGCGACAAACGCGAAGTGCAACGTACGCCCGGCTGGCAACAATGCTCCGCTTGATTTCGGCCCCGGCGAGCGTGCACGAGGAATTTTCAAGTCGACCCGCCGCCGCCCGCTTCGCCGGTCAATTCGCCGATGGCCCGTGCGCTTCCATAGATCGCTAATGCGAGGACCTGCGGCGCGGGTCCTGACGCTGCTTGCTGACGCCGTTGCAGGTGACATCGCGTTGTTACCCCGGTCGTTGCCGGATAGCGGCACGAGAGCACGCGCGTATACGCGCACACACACACACAGCACATATACACGCGCCGTCCCGGCACGGGATGTCCCGCGAATTGTGTTTCCGTGCTGCAACCGCGTGCAGCACGACTACCCTCCTCCGGTCGACGGTGCGTTTTATGGCCGCGCGCATAGCAGCGCGATGGGCCGCGGCAAACCGGAAATGGGTCAGAGCCGAACAACACGGCGCACATTGATTCCTACGATTCCGCCCGCTGCTTTATTACCACGCAAGCCGCTGCGGGAGTGGTCATTAATGTGCGCCATAGGGAAAAAATATCTCCCCCTTTTCCCTCTCCTTCTTCTCTCTTTCGTTCTCTTCAGTCTCCCTCTCTCTCTCTCTCTCTCTCTCTCTCTCTCTCTCTCTCTCTCTCTCTCTTTGTGCGTCTGTCTGACTGTCTGTCTGTCTGTCCGCCCGTCTCTTTCTTTTTCTCTCTCTCTTTCTCTCTCTCCCCCCCCCCCCCCCTCTCTCTCTCTCTCTCTCGCTCTCTCGTGAACACGCGATACGTTTATTTTGTTTCCGTGCGCGGAAACCAACGGCTGCGTTGTTTTTCTCGAACAATGGAGCAATATTTGGTGCCGCGGAAATGGAAATATATTTAATAACCGATACGCGCGCGCGTTACGACTGCGGCGCGGCGGCCCGGACCGTGCGGTTTGTTTTGTCCGACGTGGATTACGCGTTGATGGAATATTATCGATACGCTAGTAGGATTTCGCGCGCGCGAACGTGTGTAGCCGTGAAATTTTATGCGCCGAGCGGTCCGTTTCGCGCGTGTGATTTTTTTTCGCCGGCCTAGGCGTGAAAGTCGATTCCCGCGGCGGAAAGATACTCGCTTTTGACCCGCGGCCAAGCAGGATTCCGGTCAAACTTTGTCTCGCGGGCGGAGAGGGGGGTTGAGGCGGACAGGACGTTTAAAGCTGAAGCTGAAGTCTATCGTCCGCCGCGCAGGACATTTGACGTTAAATCTAAATAAATAAAATAAAATAAAAGGTGACAAGAGGGATTTCTTCATTTTCACTTTCCTCTTCTCTTTTCAACCTTCACTCCCCTTCTCCTTTCCTCTCTATTTCTCCCTATATTTCTGCCTCTCTCCCTACATCTCTCTCTCTCTCTCTCTCTCTCTGCATTATACCATCGAGCTGTACGCACGCACGTATACGTTCTTGCAAAACATTTTCGCAAACTCGCGGATTAATTAACGCGCATTATCGCAACCCGCCCGCACGTTATTTACAATCGGCGTTATCAACGGAACTTCAAAGGAACGAATTATAATATAACCACGATATCGCTACGCACACGCGCGAACCCATTTGCACGCGCGTACACGCGCACTCACACACACACACACACACACACACACACGCACACGAGGTTTTAATTATCCGTGTTGTCTTTCCGACGAAGTTGACGCGGATCGAAAAAGGAACGTTTCCAGCCCCGCCATTTGTCTCGCAGCCTCGCGTCTTCCCGCGGGAAAACGCCCGCGTGCCCGATGTGCGAGCGATTTGTGTATTTTGACGAGTTTCGGGCTCGTCAAGACCGGATGTCTCCACTCCGGAGACCCGAGAGAGGCACCACCAGCTGTCTCTGGTTTTGGCCTCCCTCGACACCCGCCGCCGCCGCCGCCGCCGCCGCCGTCGCCGCCGTCGTCGTTGTCGTTTCGGATCCCCTTCGCCGGTCAGAACGCATCGTTACAAATGCAAATAGCATCTCGTACGCATTTTTTTCCGCTTTGTGCCGCGGCGCGGGACGCACGAGAGGGTGGCGCGCACGGGACTACGGAGCGACGGAGGTGGATTATTAGCATAGAAAAGTTAAATGAAATTTACGCGCGCGCGTCCGTCGCATTGTGTGCCGGCGCGGAACGTATGCAAACACGGCTGAACAACGGCTGAATTGCCGATTTGCGATAATATTCAAAGGGATTTTCTCTCCCAGGGGCTCTCTCAGGCCGCGACACCAGGTTGCTGATACGCCTGGCCCGCCGCTCACAATGCGACGCGGCGCACGCATTGCGCGCGACTCGCGACTGGAAATTTGCGGACGTGTAAAGTCATCCAAAGCGCAAATAACGAGAGCGGTATCGTTTACATTCCCGCCGTCCAATTATTTCCTTCTTTTACAACGTGGCGTTTAACCCCCGCCCCCCGAGAGAGAGAGAGAGAGAGAGAGAGAGAGAGAGAGAGAGAGAGAGAGAGAGAGAGTATAAATTTATTTAAAGAGAGTACAAATAAAATTCGAAATGATTAAAAATCAAACGCGAAATGTGTTACACCGGAACGAGCGTTTTCACGGCGATGACAATCGGTAATAATCGCTGTGGGGGCACACAAACGGAATTTCGAGACGAGTCGTACGGAACAAAATTCCGCCGCTCGCCATCGATCGGCATCGCTCGACAATTAAAACGCGGCTTTATTATCGGCCCGTTTAATGCCGGGCTATTTTACGCTTCTTTCTCCCGTGGAAAATACGAGATAGGCGCGCCGTGCGCGCCCCCGTTTCCTGAACGCGCATTTTTGACACGCGTTATTATTTCCTCCGCGCTCGCTTAATAAATCCCCCTCCCCCCCTCCCTCCCTCCCTCCCTCCCTCCTCGGCGGGATTTTATGGAAACGTCGTAATAAACGCTCCGAAACTGCCGGGGCCTCGCCGAATTCTCCGCTTTCCCGTCGCGCGCGAGAAACGTCGCTACTGAATCATTTCACCTTACTTCCGATCCAGCCGGTCAGGAGGGGTCGGGAGGGGAGCGGCACGAGGAGGGCGCGAGCGCGCACACTCGCACGCGCGCGACAAAAAGGAGAAGAAAGGCAGCGGGAGGAGGAAAAAAAAAGAAAAAGAAAACGAAGAAACGAGAGAGGAAGAAAAGGGAAAAACGTCAACGAACCGGTGTCGGTGGCGCCTGCGCGAGTATGCATCGCGGAGTACGCTCTCACGGCGTGGCGCCGCGACGCCAGGCGTCGTCAGTAGCACGGCGTGCGCCGTCACGCTCGCATGTAATACCTTCACTTAGTCGCGCGTGCACATGTAGTGTGCACCTCCTCGCCCGGACAGCTCGAGCTTCGCTTCTTCTGCGCGAAGGGCCGATAATCGCTGAGGGCACGAGGACGAGAATCCGACCGACCCCAGGAGAGCCGCCGCCGCCGCCACCGCCAAATCGCCGGCGCGAAGATGCACGCCGAGGGCCCGGGTTTGGCGACCGCGAGGAGATCGGCCGGCCGGAAATGACGTATGTGTGAGAGAAATGGACGTGCATCGTCGGTGTTAGTTGAGTCGGCCGGCGACACCCGCGAGCCGCGAGCGATATTCGTCGGCCGGGAAGAACGGACGGGTCAAGTAGATGAGCGACCGAGCGAGGAGCACGCCGAAGATCGCATCGGTTTAATTATGAAGCCACGCCGAAAGTGCGAGCGCGCCGGTGTCGAGATCGAAACTACTGCCAATTGCAGGCTCCGGTGTTTGAAGTTCAGCATCGCTCAACGCTGGAGGCCTCGCGGAGGCGCGGCGGAATAGCAGCGTCGAAGAGCTGTCGCCCAGGAACTTAGGACGTAGAAGCGGAAACGCGCGCTCGGCGGCGAGGAGCGGAGGATGTTGCAGATCGAGGAGGAGAAATGAGCGACCGGACTGGACGGGGACTTATCCAGCCTCGAGACTGGACATTCTCGAGGACATTCCCATAGAGAGAAATACTTCGCCCGCGTCCCGCGCTGCATAATCCCGCGGACAGCCCCGAACGAAGGCGCGACTGTTAATTGACCAGTCGCGCGCGCTATTAGCGGCCGAAGAACGGCTCTCGACTTTCGTTAATCGTCGTGCAGACTCCAAGCGGGACACCGGCGGTGCCGCGACGCGCCGCTTGGAGAACGTTTCCGGCCGAGCGTCGACGTCGACGTCGTCGTCGTCGTCCTCTCTGTTCCTCCCCCACCCCCCCTCTCTCTCTCTCTCTCTCTTTTTCTCTCTTGAGCGCCAGCCCCCCTCCCGGTATTCAATGCGCGAAACGTGCGCGTCCGTGGTTCTCGTGCCGGAATAAATCGCGATAAATCGCCGGTTCGTGCGAGCGGCGAAGCACGTGTCACACTTCCACGGTAATTCCGCGCCGATGTTGAACCCGTTCTCGTGTGGCCGTTCGTCTAGAATTATTACTGGTTTATTACCGGCCGCGCGCCACCGCCTTGTGCCACGCTGTGGCAGCTGTTGGCAGCTGGGACGTTTCACCTTCTTGTTGCACGTCAGCCGTTCGTACCAGTTGCGACTCCTAGATAGGCCAGCCACGGGCTCTGTGATCCTGTTGAGAGACGTTCCGGAGTAGGACACGTCGCGCCAACGTTCTTTCATACGTACACGCAGGAATCGCGTCGAGTCATGTACAATGTCGCCGCTCGCAAATAGGTTAGCGGGCTAATCGGAGGGAAGGAAGACAATATATCGCCCCGGCGAGAGGCGCGCTTCCCATTGCATCGAGTTGCATTATGACAGTTCAGACTGGACTCGCCGAGGCGGTGGACGGTCCGCGTCGCTGCCGGTCGAACGTCGCCGGCATCGATCTGTGAAAGTGTGGTGAGAAAATTGTGAAAAAATTGTGGAATTTACGCGCAGTCGGCTGTCCCGATCGAAGTGGAAGATTCTTGGAATTGGCGGCACCCGACATGGCGTCTGGCCAGGAAGGCAAGGAATCCCCCAGGTATTACTTTCGACGGGGGCGCGCGCTCTCCGAATGATTAGGACGACGCATTCTGACGCGTCGCTTGTACGCTCGCGTCGAGGAATTAGCCCTTCCGTCGCTGCATGTACGCGTCCTTGACGAAGGTCCTTGATCCAAACTGCGTGCGTACGTGCGTGCGTGCGTACAGATGCGTCTGATGGATTTCCTTGGCTTCTTCTACTCTCGACACGAGCAACGGTTATGTAGGCTGTTTGATGCGAAACCACGCTCGTATATGTATAGACGAGGTGAAGCTGGACGCAAAAGTCCACCATTTTGCAAGGAGCCACGTGAAATTTTGAAGCATCAATTAACCCTTTAACGCCCACTGGTAACTATAGTTACCAGAAACGCATTTAAGAATCCGTAACTTGGTCGAAAAAGGAGATATTTTCGTTTTCTTTGCGCCTGCACTGTAAAGGTGAATTCTTCTTCTAAGAAATGGTATATAGATTGTACGGTAGATTCGGTTTAGTCTGTTTTTAGCTCAGTTTTAACGATAACATGGAGCGACCAGTTCGCTTTGACAACAAGAAACTGAAGATGACCGAAGACATCAGGAAGTGTTACAACAAGCCTGTTGAGGAAAAACAGTAAAAGACATTGTCAATTGTGCAAGCTCGAAAGAGAAGCAAAGCAGCAGAAAAATAATTTGCAACACCTGTAAAATTCCCCTCTGCATCTCTCGATACTTTATGCAATTCCATCCCGGGTAAATAAAGATCAAGTTCTGAATATGAGTTTTATGTTTCGAGGAATTTTTCCAACCATTAGGTATGATGTATTGGGTGAGTGCAAAAGTTCGTGCGGAGTTTGTGAGTAAAAGTCACACAGTGATTAGGCAAACAAAAATCTTTATTCAATCAATGATATATTCTCCATCGTTTTCTATAATCTTTTCCCAACGTTCTGGCAGCATACGGATGCCTCGATCATAAAAACTGCGCGGTTTAGATTCGAAGAACGAAGAGACGCCGTTTTTTAAGGCCTCCAAAGAGTCAAAGTTTTTTCCATTTAAATAATTTTGCAATGACCGGAACAAGTGATAGTCAGATGGTGCGATATCAGGAGAATACGGTGGATGCGTTAAGACATCCCATTTCAGGCTCTTCAGTTTGCGCAGCGTCTTTTTCGAAACGTGTGGTCTGGCGTTGTCGTGATGAAAGACGACTCCCTTGCGATTTGACAAAATCGAACGTTTCTCTTTTATTTCTCGATTCAGATCGGTTAATTGGCGACAGTACTTGTCCGAATCAATCGTTTCGCCAGCGGGGAGAAGCTCGAAATAGATTATGCCCTTGCAATCCCACCAAACAGAGAGCATCACCTTCATCGGGTGCCAACTGGCCTTTGGCATTGCGTCACCATGCTCACCTGATTGTTTCCATGTCCGTTTGCGCTGAACATTGTTGTAGAGGACCCATTTCTTATCGCCCGTCAGTCGATTCAAAAACGACTCATTATTGAGCCGCCCGAGTAAAGAAACGGCTGCAGAAATTCGCTTGATTTTGTTCTTCTCGGTCAGCAAATGGGGCACCCATATATCGAGCTTCAAATCGAATCCCATCTTTTTTAAACGCCGAAAAGCGGTTGATCGGTCAACGTTTAGTGCTGTAGCAACTTCTTCTATTGAAATTCGCGGATTATTGAGCACTAAAGTACGCAAAACATCGTCATCAATGTCAGAAGGTCGACCAGAGCGTGGCTCGTCTTCAAGGTTAAATTCTCCGCGCCGAAATTTAGCAAACCATTTTTCCATAGTTCGTTTAGCTGGTGCTTCATCCTGATAAACATCCTGAATGTTTTTTACGGCTGCGGCAACGTTTATTCCCTTCCGAAACTCGTAAAGCATAACATGCCGTAAATGCACCTTATCGATATTCATTTTTAAAGTGATATTTCTCGAAGCAGTTTGTATGAAAACAAATGATTTTTTTTTTAATAACAGCTGAAGACGTCACCTTTCCAACGTTATATAATATGTAGATGGAAGTATTAATGACAACACTTTACGACGCTTATAACTCCATCTACTGAATCTATTGAATCTATTGAATCCGCACGAACTTTTGCACTCACCCAATAAAATTATTAAAACTAAAAAAAACATTTAACCGACCAGGCGCTATTTTTCGCTTCTGGGAATAGTTCCTGCTTGAAAAGGTAGTTTTTCGTAGATATAAAATTCTGATATTTTTTTGGTTATCACTACTTATGGTCTCAGTTAAAAAAAAAAAAAAGTCAAATTTTATTCATAAAACACTTATGAAACAAGTCGAGCGTCAAAGGGTTAAAGAAGGTTGCTGAGTGACCAGGTCAAACTGATGAAAAGAGAAAGCTACTTTGCTCGCTGCAGATTGAAGCGTCGCCTCGTGTGCGATCAATCAGCAATCTCCTTTAATCAGTAACTGACAGTTTTACGCAGTTATTTGCGAAATAGTAGAGGACCTTTCAGTCTCAAGTAATGTACGAGCACGTCGCTACCGCGTCGCGTCGATCTTTTCTGATTAACTCGATACTTTACATAGTCGTTTGTAAAATAGCAGAAGACTCTCTCTGCCTCTCTCTCTCTCTCTCTCTCTCTCTCTCTCTCAGCTTCATCCATACGTACATAAAAATTGTATCTGCATTAGACAGCCTACGCGCATCGCGTCTATCGCCACAGGCATTTGCATTCGTATCCTTTGACATACTTTTCATTTTCCTGATATTTCAGCGACGGTAAGGAAAGTACGATTTCTCAGTTTATCTCGGTTCGCCGCCCTTGAAGGGGCATTTTCCAACAAGCCACTCCTTTTACCCGATTCGCTCGCGACAGCCCAAAGTATTTCAGCGGTCCTTTGCCTTTGAAGTGGCTTCCGCGCTCGAAGGGTTAATCGGCAGAACCGCGCGGCCGATTTGTTTCTCCGCTCCGACTGCGAGTTAGTCGCGCTTTCGCGCGAAAGCCGCGGGACGCACGACGTAGCGCGCTGGAATATATCCGAATTGCACTTCGCCGAGTGACATGAACCAGTGAGAAATTCGCAGAGCCGAGCTGCCCTCCGAAAGCGACGTCTCGCGGTGCGAGACTTGTTAACGTCCGATCGAATCTGCGGCGTCCGCACCGCGGTGGGATTCTTCGTGCCGCTTAATTGAACGTGACGGCGGGCTCATTGGCCGCGACTCGCGATTAATTGCTAATAGATGATTAAATCCACGCCGGTGCGGACTCATTAGACCTGCGCCGTGTGTGCGGGCCCCGGCAGTCTTTCTACGCGCCGTGGCGTGTCCGATTGCGGCAGGATCAGGCCAGGAAGAAGCTGACGCGCCGCGCCGGCTCTTCGGGAGCAAGAAGCTCCGTTTTCACCGATATCTCCGAATTAAATCCCGGTGACCGGCGGCAGGGGGAGGGGGGGCGCCTATGCAGCCGCGATGGTAATCGCGGCACGTACCGCGACATTACGACGCGGTCCATGTGCGTCGGGGCGTCTATGGACGTGACCGACCATCATGGGCGAGCGTTTACAGCTGCAGTCGTACGCGTCACTCGGCTGTCGAGCGGCTACGTGCGAGCTTGGCCAACATGTGGGCCGTAAAATCGCGACTGAGGCTGGAAACGCGCGACAGCGAGCGTATAATGAGTAATGAAAAATCAGCCCGCACGAGAAGAAAGGAGGCGGACGGAGACGCTTTCTGTATTTGTCTCCATTAATTCCTCGGCGGTTGCGCGACCACGCGCGGCTGAGAGACCAAGCCGTGGCGTGCGGGAAAAGGCGGAAATGATAGGAGCAGGATCGGTTGCTGGAGAATAGGTTCGTACCCGAAAATGCGAATGACGAAATACGAGGAGGATACGAAGATGACGGAGAAAAAATATGAGACGCGAATTAGAGGCGGCGACGACTTCGATCGCTCGAAAGTCACTCGACGATATGCCGATGTCCGAAGAAGATGTTGAGAACTGAACGAGGGAGACTTTGCGTCACGATAGACATCGCGTCAATGAGAAAGTCGGCTGCGATTTTCAGCGCAGATAGCGTTCAAGCACACGCAACACATTTACTCGGCCGATGAGTAATTTGCTTCCCATCGGCCGCGGTGGGGTGAAATTTGACGAAACAATCGAGTCGAACTTTCCGATTCCGACCACCCGACGATATTTACCGTTGTGAGGCCGCAGTAATTAATATTGATTTCATCGCGTAGGACAGCTCGCGATATCGCGTATAAGCGCGTAATAGCGCATAAACCGTTTATGCATCCTGCCAAGAGCAACATGTCCTGTAACCGGATTTCCGGATTCTGTGTATGAGCGTACATGCGCGAGAGAGGAGCATCCGCTGCGCCGTTAGAGAACCCACATACGTGTATATATGTATTTATATATATATATATATATTTTTTTTTGCCGAGATTGATCCGAAAGTCGGAATGCGAATAATCTGGGAGGCCCGGATGGGCAAAAATGTCTGGAGATATGGTGTTTCATTACCCGGCAACAACAACGTAGCGAAGAATAGCGAAGAAAAGGACTATCGCGATTTTTCCATCGGCGGCGACCTCCGACCTGCCGCGCGTCCTCGTCTCTACTTATTATGATCCTGCGTCGTTCTTTTCCAAGGCGTCCTCTTCCTCCTTTTCCTTCTCCCTTCTTTCTCCACTTCACCTCCCAATATTCCGGATATTGTATGAACCACGGCGGCCGATCATCTTTCTTCTCTTTCTCCCCCCTCTCTCTCTCTCTCTCTCTCTCTCTCTCTCTCTTTCTCGTCCGGTTATTACGAAACTCGCTTTCAACGGAAGGCGAAGGAAGGCGAGGAGTAGGGGCAGGAAGGAGCGGGAAGGCAAGAGGGTGGCGGTGGAAAACGTCGGACGTGTGCCCGCGAGGCATTGTCATTTTCATCGGCTCGCAGCTCTCCCGCGGCTTTTCCTCCTCCCACCCAGCGTTTCTTGCCGCCGTCTCCTTCCATCCGCGCGAAAAGCCAGCGGCAATGAAAATA